CCCCCCCCCCCCTCCCCACTCACCTCACTCCGTACACAGCTCTCTTCTTTTTCATTCATTCCCCAATACAAAGATGTCCGCCGGCGAGAAGCAGACCACCGGCGACGCGCCGAAGGAGGAGGAGAGATGCCCGGTGGAGGAGGTGGCGCTGGTGGTGCCGGAGACCGACGACCCCACGCTCCCAGTCATGACCTTCCGGGCCTGGTTCCTCGGGCTGGCCTCCTGCGTCGTCCTCATCTTCCTCAACACCTTCTTCATCTACCGGACCCAGCCCCTCTCCATCTCCGCCATCCTCATGCAGATTGCGGTCCTCCCCGCCGGCAGATTCATGGCCGCCACGCTGCCCGAGCGGAGGTTCACGGCCTTCGGGCGCTGGAGCTTCACCCTCAATCCGGGGCCCTTCAACATCAAGGAGCACGCCATCATCACCGTCATGGCCAATTGCGGCGTCTCCCCCGGCGGCGGCGACGCCTACTCCATCGGAGCTGTTACTATTATGAAAGCTTATTATAAACAAAGCCTGAGCTTTCTCTGTGCCCTCATCATTGTCTTGACCACTCAGGTATATATATACATATTATTATTATATTATTAAAATTATACTCTGTCACTCTCCCTTTTTTTTTTTAATAAAATATGTTTGTGTTTTATTATAAATTAAAAAAAGCTTTCTTTTCTATCTTTTGATTTACTCAATTTATTATAATTCAATTCAAGTTTTTGATATTCCTAGGAGTACTTTAGGGTGAAATGAGTCAACTTATGAGTGCAATTCAAATGGTAAGATGTAAAATCATATAGAAAAAAAATTCATGTTAATACTTTCAAAATTTTTGAGATTTTACAAGAATACTCCAAAATTACTTAATTATCTCCCATGCTCACAGAAATTCAACATATTTACAACAATTTTTTTTGATGAGTATTTGTGATGATTACGTAATCTTGTAGAATCTCGAATTTCTCGGAGTATTTGGCACAAAATTTTCCAATCAAATGTTGAATTTGTTGTAAAGACTCAGTTTTTGAAAGGTTCTTGATCTGGTGTTATTATGCAGCTTATAGGGTATGGATGGGCAGGGGTGTTGAGGAGGTACCTTGTTGATCCAGTAGATATGTGGTGGCCATCAAACCTGGCTCAAGTTTCTCTATTCAGGTCTGAGGTTTTTTCTCCCTCTTGGGTTTTCTGGGTTGGGATTTAACTGTAATCTGAGGTTGTTCTTCCTTCTAAGAACACATGAACTCTAACAATTGTATTCTTGGTTTTGTGTGTTTTTGTTTTGTATTGACAGAGCACTCCATGAGAAGGAAGTGAAGTCAAGAGGGTTAACCAGGATGAAGTTTTTTCTGATAGTCATGGGAGCAAGTTTCATATACTACATTTTGCCCGGCTACTTGTTTCCGATTTTAACCTTCTTTTCGTGGGTATGTTGGGCGTGGCCACGCAGCATAACCGCCCAGCAGATCGGCTCAGCGTACCACGGGCTGGGCCTGGGTGCATTCACACTTGATTGGGCCGGGATTTCGGCTTACCACGGAAGCCCATTGGTCACGCCGTGGTCCTCGATTCTGAATGTTGCTGTTGGTTTCGTCATGTTCGTTTACGTAATCGTCCCTCTGTGCTACTGGAAGTTCGACACCTTTGACGCCCGGAAATTCCCTATATTCTCAAACCAGCTCTTCACATCTAGTGGCCACAAATATGACACCACTAAGGTCTTGACCCCTCAATTTGACTTGAACATTGCTGCATATAAGAGCTATAGCAAGCTCTATCTTAGCCCTCTTTTCGCCCTATCCATTGGGTCCGGGTTCGCACGGTTCACAGCAACTTTGACACATGTGGCTCTTTTCAATGGCAGGTTTGGCCTTTTGTCACTCAATGATGTTATATATATATAAACGATAACCCCACATTTGACACCAGTGTCTCCTAGACACACACAAACAGTTCCTGCATAGATAGTTATTGGCTTATTGCATGTGTCTTGGAGACGCTATAGTGTCAAATGTGAGATTCCCCTAGATTTTTTTTGATAAATGTGAAGTCCGACTATGGGTTCAAGTTTGCTTCTTTGTTTGTCAGTGATATTTGGAAACAAACAAGATCTGCCGCGAGGAATGTCAAGATAGATATCCATGCCAAACTAATGAGGAGTTACAAGCAAGTCCCGGAATGGTGGTTCTTGATTTTGCTCCTTGCCAGCACTTGCCTTTCGCTCGTTATGTGCTTTGTTTGGAAAGAAACCGTTCAAATTCCATGGTGGGCAATGCTCTTTGCATTTGCTCTAGCATTTGTTGTTAGTCTCCCCATTGGTGTCATTCAAGCCACAACGAACCAGGTAAAGCCCGGTTTGTGTTTTTCGTGCTCTGGGTCTAGTTGCTAGTGTCAGCACGTGCGTCTCATGCTTTGAATTTTTTTTCGTGGCAGCAACCGGGTTATGACATTATAGCTCAGTTCATCATTGGGTATATCCTTCCTGGAAAACCCATTGCCAACTTGCTCTTCAAGATCTATGGGAGAATCAGCACTCTTCACACACTCTCATTCTTAGCTGACCTTAAACTTGGTCACTATTTGAAAATCCCCCCACGCTGCATGTACACAGCTCAGGTAATTAGTCTAGGTAACACTAAGACAATAGCTTAGTCACTGTTTAAATTTTAAAAGCGTTACTGTGTTTTTTTTATTATGTGATTTTACGTTTATTTCAGCTGGTGGGGACAATTGTTTCTGGTGTGGTCAACCTTGCGGTGTGCTGGTGGATGTTGGGTAGCATTGAGAACATATGTGACATTGAGGCGCTTCATCCGGATAGCCCGTGGACGTGCCCGAAGTTCCGAGTCACGTTTGACGCTTCGGTCATATGGGGACTGATCGGGCCAAAGCGGCTGTTTGGACCGAGTGGGTTGTACAGGAACCTGGTTTGGCTATTCCTGGTGGGAGCGGTCTTGCCCGTGCCCGTTTGGCTACTGAGCAAAATGTACCCGGAGAAGAAATGGATTCCCCTCATCAATATTCCGGTGATCTCTTACGGGTTCGCCGGGATGCCGCCCGCGACTCCGACCAACATAGCCAGCTGGATAGTGACTGGGCTGATATTCAACTACTTTGTGTTCAAGTACAGGAAGGGGTGGTGGAAAAAGTACAATTATGTCCTCTCGGCCGCGTTGGACGCGGGGACCGCTTTCATGGCCGTCCTTCTGTTCTTCGCGCTGCAGAACGAGCATAAAAACCTGAAGTGGTGGGGGTCGGAGTTGGACCACTGCCCTCTCGCGGCTTGCCCCACGGCTCCTGGGATTGTGGTTGAGGGGTGCCCGGTTTTCAAGTAGGCAAAGTAGTCACAGCTAGATGAGCAAACCAACCATGTGATTCAATTGATTCATGCAATGTAATCTTCTTAGGGAGAAAAATGATGACCCGTGTTTGGGTCCACGAATTTGTGGGAGAAAAAATGTTTGGTATTGGTGGTGAAGTGTGCAATTTTCTTTTGTGAATAACAATTTTGAGCTATTTCGCAAACAACGTAATGTAATTTATTTTTGGACAAAAATAGATTGCGACGTTTAAAGTCATTCATGGCTTTCTTTCCCCAAACTTTGTACTATCATTTCCATCCATTTTATAGACAAAGTTATACTGGCTTAGTAATCCGTAATAACTTATATAATACTTCCTCCGTCCCACTCTGAAATTCCGACTCGCATTGAATATCTCTCCGATGTGTTGATATCATCCTTGGCCTCCAATTTTGTTCATAATTGTGTTAATGTCTTCATTGGCTTCTCAAGAACCTGACACATTCCATGGACAATAAATCAGCAAGTTGAACACCAGATCGAATCAAACCAGGTTGTTAAAAAATCATATTGGAAGCATTGAAAATTGACACACTTTTAGGATAAAAAATGGTATTGACTTGAAGCTTGAAACTTGATGTGACTTTGGGTTAGAAGTAACTTAAACTTGGAACATGATACTTTTCAAATTGGATTATGACACTTTTAGCTTAAACTTGACTTTGATATTGACCATTGACTTTTGCTTCAAAACTTGGAACTTTCAAAATAAAATAAGATTCACAGAATGCAATTTTCTAGAAATAGGCAATGTAAGCTGATAGATCATGATATCCATAACCTTGTTCTTTTCGAGAATTCATCCTAGAACAAACAAATACTCGTAAAAGAATAACGAAATCTTACCTGATCAATCTTTACAAATAATCACCAACATTGTGCTTCTAATGTTTCATGTGTCACAAATGCTCGCCATGTTTCCATCTGACAAAACATAAATGTTAGCTCCTAATGTTTCCGAGGTGCTTCCAAATGATCCAAATACATAGATCGAAACGATCAAAAGATGGGTCAAAATGAAATCTTTCATAGGCTAACTTTATGGTGTTCGAGTAAAAAATTATGATAACAATGCAAGTGACCAATTAGCTAGGTTCATGGTGGCATATTGTGCAAATTTGTGGGAATGAGACATTTTTCCACAGCAATGGAGATGACATTTTTATGGAAACACCATAAAAAGAAGTATGAAGTATAGCCAAAGAACGTGTCATGATTCCTCATGAATCAACCACCAACAAGTAAATTAAGGATTTAATTCTAATCATAATTCTACTCACTAAGCAACAAGTTCAAAAACTTCAAGTACTTGTGATCATTACCAACATGAAAGATCGGCTGCAATTCTTTTCTGTAATGATTGAACATTCTTGAACTGAAGAATGGATAAGAATGGCAAATGAAGGATATTCAAGTAGAAGTAAAACAAGTAAATACTGACATTATCATTGAGCTTCAAAATGGAGGCTTCATCTTCAATGTTTGAAAAGTGTCAATTGTCCTCATCATCTTCATCCACAATCTTTTGTCCAAACCCTAGAGGTCCGGATTTAGCTCTGCTCGAGACCTTCCCCCTTCTCCTGCTCTCTTTCTCCTTCTTCTTCTTCCTCTTGGACGCCTCTTCTTTTTCAAGCTTTTCGCTCTCCCTCCTCTGAATGAAATCTGTTACAGCCAAATAGATAACCCCGGCAGTGAGAACGGACAACGCAATGAATGCAGTGAGAAACAGAGCAGAAATGACAATCGAAGCCCCATCGCCGGACGCGGTAGCTATTCCCGGGGGAATCGGGACCTGTTCTGCATCTGAAATCAAGGAACTCGCCGGGAGAGAAGAGATCGCCGGCATTCCCTTCCGGCGAAAATGAGAAACGCTAAGCAGAGATGGTGAAGTGACAGGGAAGACGAGTGAGAGACGATAACCGCGGGAAGCGAGCGGTGGACGTCGCCTGGGTTGCGGCGGAGAGAGAAATAGAGACAGATTCGGAACAGTCGCCATGCCTGGTCTGGTCTGACCCGAGTTCAGTGATCGACGGGAATCCAATTTCCAAAAGGGGAGAGGGGGTAGGGATGGCAATTTGCATATTAATTTTGGAAATGATAACGCTAAAGTCTACCGTTGATAGCCTTTTCAAAACACTAACGCTAATCTCTAACGCTGATTCCAAACGAGACATGCGCCACCATAATATACATGATAGATGAATCGGGTAATGAATCATATTTGATGTGAGTTGAGATTGTTGTCACTCATCACTCAATCTATTCATATCTAATTTTAGAGATCAAAATATGGATAGCAAGCTATTCCATGCCTCACAGGCAGCTATTAATTGGTTTAGTTGATCCTAATTCTTTGGTTTGTTTCGATTGAGAGTTCAATTCTTTATTTCTATTCTTTTAATAAAAAGCCTTAAATCACAAAGTACACGGTCTAAGCAATCTAATCAACTCGCAATGAAGCAAAATTTACTCAACCCGCGACTCGCAGTCTCACATTGCTGAAATAGTGAACGTTCTTCGCAAAGAAGACGAAGTTTGTAAGCTACTGGTCTGGAAGCTATCTCCTCTTGCGTCCGGCGTCTATCTCCTCTTACGTCTTGCGTTCAACTCCTCTCGTGTCCGGCATCCAACTCCTCTGTAAGGTCAATTGCTTCATTCATGTGCTCTTCAATGACTAGATTATCTATTTTCTAACTTGTTTGAGATGTTTCTATACTTTTTTTCAAATTTTCTTGCTGATTTGCTCCCCTCAATTTTTGTTTAACTCAACAAATTTTTCCGTTCGTAGTATAATGGCATTGGTACAATTAGGGCAACTACGGTACTCCATTCGTAGTATTATGGCATGGATGCAATTTATGGTTTGTGGCTTCAATCCCGAGCTTCCTCAAACATCCTCTTAGTTATTTTCTTACGTAGTATTTGACAAATTCTCATTACAACAACTATGAGCATTAAAATTACAAAACTAAAAGAGAACATCACAACCAGAGCTCTTCTATCCCTTGGTGTAACAATAACAATAATCATGAAATCAATTTGTACATTCCAAGCCTTCATTATTTCATACTCTGCAGTATTCTAAACCCACAATAACAATTCTTTCATACTACTACCCACTTCTGTCTGTTCTTTTCCTCAAGAAAATAGTACTCTCTGCGTCCCAAAAAAGAGTCTTCTTTCACCGAAAAAACCAACCCACGCAGACCAGGTTCGGGTCAGGATATAATATACAATTTTTTTTACTCCGTATTATACAGTATTAAGTTCAAGATGACCAAAAACAGAAAGGATGCTGCACTCTACTTACAAGCTGACCATCGTCACTACATATAAGCAAACTTCTCACTGTAAAAAGTCGAAGAAATCTCCTCCATCCCGCACGGTCCAACAACAAACTAATCAAGCTATGATTTGATTTAACTTCGTCCCTACAGTTCAAAGAAATGGCAAAATTGACATCAAATATCAAGTGGTCACCACAACAAAGTGTAATAATCTATCTGAATTTCTTTAAACATCAAACAAAATCACCACGTGGTTCATAAAAGTAAAAAATCTTTGCTAATTTTAGCTACTCCCTCTGGCCTCATTCAATGTTCCCATTTATAGACTGTCTTCTACTTTCGTTTTTTAAATGATACTATATGGGCGTTTCTTTGTGCTAATAAGCTGGTCAAAACTGTTTATAAGCAATTTTTAACTTATAAGTAAGCTGATGACATGTTTCTCTTTATCAGCTGACTTATAAGTTGCTTATAAGCCAAAAAAATAAGTACTCCCTCCGTCCGGGAATGTTCTTCCCGTGTTGACTTGACACGCTTATTAAGGAGTAGTAAAAAAGTGCCAAATTTCCAAAAATGCACATACTATAAACTTTTAAATCTCCATTTTTTATTAAAAAAGCAATAAAAAAGTAGATTAGTGATAAAATAGAAGGGTATTATTGAAATTTATCCTTAAAAAGTACACTAAAAAAGGAAATGAGAAGAATATTTCCGGACAGGATAAAAAGGAAAGTGGGAAGAACATTTTACCTAATTATTTTTAAGCCAGTTTTTTCGTTTCTCCATTTTGACCAAATTATTTGCAAAATTGTCCCTTACCATTTATGAATATTCCCATATGACTTATCAGTCATTTAACTCATTTTATTTTCACGAGAGAATATTTGGCTTATATAAGTTAAAAACTACTTATCAGCAATCAACTAATAAGCACTAGCACCCCCCCCCCCCCAATAATNAATTATTTACAAAATCCTTGAATTTGTTTCAAAAGCCCTGAACACAAGGTAGCCTTACCAGTCATCACTAGTGATGGCGCACTCATTATAGTCCAAAACAACACAGTTCGCATGGCATTCAAAAAAAAGTACCTGCAGAGTTATTGTCGGTGAGCATTTTTCGTTGTAGATCATTGGCAGCCTCAAACATTCCCTTTGCATTAAATGCCTTTATCATGGTAGCAAAGGTGATATTGTCTGGTCTGCATTGTTTGACCTTCATTTCAGAGAATAACTCAACCATCTTCTCCATATCACCAGCATGGCCATACGCATTGATAGCGCAATTGAAAAATGCAGTATCCAGAAGCACATCCGAGTTTTCTACTTGCCTCATTATTGAATCGACCTTTTCTACAACTCCTACTCTACTATAAGCACTAATCAGGGTGCAGTAAGTGATTGAATTGGGTTTCACTCCTCGATGTTTCATTTCCAGGAAAAACTCTTCCATCTTATAGATATTTCCTGCTTTTCCAAAAGTCTCAATGATTATATTATAAGTAACAATCGTTGGCATGTAGAAGCGTTTCCTCATATATTCGAGCACATGCCCCATTTTCTCATACATCATTGCCCTTCCATAGGACTTGATTAGTATGTTAAATGTCATGACATCGGGCTTTATTCCCATAAGCTGAAACTCATCAAACCACTTCTCCATTTTCTCAATGTTTCCACCATTACCATAAGCCCCAACAACCGAATTCAAAGTGAATATATCGGGAAGACTCTCCCCACTCCCTATCATCTCTAGCAATGAGTTCTCCATTTTTTCAAAAAGATTAGCCTTCCCATAGCCATCAATTATAGTGTTGTAGGTCACGTTACTACACTGGATTCCCAAATAAGACATTTCGGCTAACATTTGGTCGATCATTTCATGGCGTTGGAATTTCATGCAGCATTTGATGAGTATTGAGTAGGTAAAGACATCAGGCTTGCAATCAGAGGTCGAATTCATGTCATGAATGATATCCAGCGCTTCATCAACAAGGCCGCTGAGACCATATGCACTTGCAAGTGCAGTATAAACATCTACAGTTGGTCGAAGCCCGTCAGACCGCAGCATCTCAAACAGCAGGCTGGCTTGATTTGGCTGCCTGCAGTTGCCAAGCATTGCTAAAAGCCTTGCATACGTCCGACATTTTGGCTGATACCAAAGTTGCTTACGAAGAAGATAAAAAATCTGCAAAAAGCAAATCAAGACGTAGACAGGTAAACTTTGATGCAAAAAAAAAAACCAAGAATAAATCACAAGTGACATGACTCTTTCCATATACGGAAAAAATGAAAAAGTAACGGTACTACTTTACTATCCTCATTTAGTATCCCTACTTGCGGCCGTAATTTAATCCCAACTAGATATCACAATGACATTCTTGGAAGCCAATGCTAAACATTTGATTCATTCAAAACTGTGTAATTCAAACTAATAACATTCTTTTCGAGATGTATATGGTTGCAAATTCTTATTTAACTGTAACAAAAAGCAATCTTTATTCATTCCAATTTACTAGGCTCCGTTTGGAAGCAACAGTTTTTAAATCAGCGTTAGAGTTTTGATTAAACTTTTAACTCTGCAGATCAATGTTTGAAAACACGAAAGCAAAAAACTACCTTTGGATATCATTTCCAAAACTCAAAATCTAAACTCTAACGCTAATGCCAAACGGGACCTTAACAGATGAATCTTTCGCTATACATGACTTTGCAATCCAGCTAATGGGGTTCATGCATACAGGTATAGCTCCTCAAAGGGCCAAAAAAATATATCTCTTTCCTTTTCAACCTTTCCTAAAGAAGCTAAGGATCTCTTGTAGAAACAATGCCTTCAAGTTCTTAAAGAAACGCTTACGATTTACCACGGCCCAAAGACTAACACGAAAGAATCATAAGAAAAGTTTGGGTAAAATAGCAGAGATTTGAGTAACCTTAAGAGCAGACTCCCAACGGTTTTCCCTGATAGCATCATGAAGAGCCTCCAAAACAACCTTAGGCCAGAGGTTATTGTACTTGCTAGAGTTGGCTTTCTTCTCAATAGCTTTAACGGCCGCCTCGGTTCGGAGAATCCGAGAAAGGTCCTTCTTGGACCCTTTTTGCACGGCTTGGGAAGTGTCCTCAGGGGTCAATTTCGCCGCAAGAATTCTAAAGAATTTTATGCCCTTCTGACCTCTGAACTCTCTGGGGAATTTCGTCGAACAGGAGACTGGGGAAGGGAGAAAGGAGGACGAGGAGCAACTTACACTGCGCTCCATTGTCGTCGTGTGAGAATTTGAAGTGATTTCTTCTCCACGCCAAGGATTATCAGAGGACCCGGCCCAATATTCTTGAGATGTAAAATTTCATGTCAAAAAAAGAGTACTACGGAGTACTACTCTCCCAAATTAAATTATCTATTTAGTACAAAATATTTACAATTTTACATAATTAAATTTTATTTACTTTATTTACTTATTTTTGTTATATATTTGATAATATAATATACAGATGTCAACCCCATTTCATAGAATTTTTTATGTGTTTTTTATATGTATATTTTATATTTAAATTTTATCTGAATTTTCAAATGAATTGAATTGAAAATAGCTTCCGTCAATATTGTAATCCAAAACAGTCAATATAATTTGATACGAAGGTAGTAGAAAAATAAATAGCTGTAGACCTAAAATATGTATATGTTCATTTATTTTTGAATGCTACATAACCTACATTGCAATATAAGAATGACATGCGAGGACAAATTAACAAATGGCGTCATTAATGGAATCATGCATGGTAGCATATGGCTTAAATCTGGGGAAAAAAAGTTAGAAAGAATAAAAATAGAAAAAATATTAGGGTGGCCCCAAAATGATTGCTATCAGGGTGCATCCATGCTTCGCATAGATGATTATCATCTGTGTTACACAGATGATTATCATCTATGTTATCTATGCGGAGCATGTGTGTGCCCATTATAGCAACTATGTGAGGCACCCTAGCATGATCCATAAAAATATCTTGACATGCTGCTGAGTCTGAGTTTGGGTTTGCTAGATGTGGGACAAATATAGACCATGGTGTGATTTTGGTGGGTTATGAAACACAGAGATGGGACAAAGTATTGAACAATAGAGGTGGACATCCACCCTAGGCGCCTCACACCCCGACCTGACAGGATTGTGAAGAGGTTAAATCATGGTATAATTTAGTCTGATCCTTCGAGATGTCGCCTCGTGTCCAGTGCGTACAAAGAGTTATTACTAAAAATAAGACTCACATTGCCGCAATCGAGATTCGATTATAATATCTTTGGCTTGACATTTTCTCATTGGACCAACTAAGCTACCCATGCGGGCTAATATAGAACAATAAAGAATTCATGGGGAGAGAGTTGGGGAGAAAATGGGGATACTTTAGGTTGCAAAGGGATATTGATGCAGATGAAGGGCTTTGTGGTGTAGCCATGCATGAAACCTTCTTATCCAACATGTTAATGTGTGAATAGTTTAAACAATAGTCTAATGTTCCTTACAATGTGTAGTATAAAATTCGGAAGACTTTCATATCAAAATCAAGGGCTTCACAAAAAGGAACATATCCTAGAATTTGACATTTCCAAATGCCCCTTCTAACGTATAGTAAACACAACTACAATCTGTGGATGGCTTGTACACATTTGAAAATCAGATCTGAAACCATGAGAAAGATCAACTTCGTCCCTATTGTCGGTATACTGAGTGAAGATATGCACCCATCTCTATTCCTGTGGTTAAGCTGAGAACGGGGATGAAATGCTTCGTGCAAATACAAATGAAGACATCAGTCCAAACCAATATATATGTATAAGAAATCATGGACTAAGAGTAAGACCTAAAGAAAGTACCAAAATAAAAGCTCCATATGATTTTATTCTCAAAATAGAAGTTTGCACTGTGATAATGTAGCACTGTATATTGGCATTCTACAGTATTTTTTGGTATTATATGTTGACATTCTTGGCACTGTAACTTCTATTTTGGAAATGCAAATATGGAACTCCCATTTTGATACTTTCTCTACATTTTACTCGTACATATACATCACGAAACTGTTCTTTCGGGTAAGCTCTCTGGGGCAGGTTTTGTTGTCAAAGGCAAATCCACCAGCTTGTTTGGGGGAGCAAAGTACATGTGTAGTGACATCATGCAGATAACAATGCCCAAAAATAGCTGCAATGAAATGGAGATTCTTAATATATTTGTAATAAAAAGAACTTTAACTGCACAATCATCAGCATGATGTTCTTTTCCCATGGCATCATCATGATATGACCCAATTGCAAAGTGGGACTATGATCCCAAATGGGTAGTATGACATAATGTTGTTGGGTTTATAATTAATTTGTCCTTCACTAATAAGAACGATGCTAACATGCTCTTTGATACTCTTTTGATAATTCACAATAATTTGTTTATTAATTATGGTAAGTGGACAACTAATTTCAGACGCCCCAAAAAAAAAGAAAAATAAACAACTAATTTGAGGGAGTCTTTTTCTTGTATATACGTATTATACAAGTCAACATGAATGCTCCAAGAACATCATAGTGTAGTCATTGTAATATTTTTTACTACATGCATATGATACATTTAGAGCTATATACACAAGTGATGATTTTTTTTTTTTTTTTGGGGGGGGGCAGTAGATAACTTACCTGAACAGTTGGCTTGAAATTGAATAAGACCACCGATAATGACATTGTTAAAAGCATTGCCATAGATGTGGAGTATACCTTCACAACATGGAAAGGAATGGTTAACTTGGTGATGCCCCAGACATTTACTATTAAGCACAAATCTCATGAGAAAGCAGAAGCAATCTGAAAAAGGAAGAAAAAAAGACCAAACCTTAACGATATTGTTGGCATACTTCATTAACCATGACACCAAAAGCCCAGTTGTTCCCAGATTCAAAACCACCAACCATGTTGTAATACTGTATCCATGCAGAAGGCGTTGCCACCATGGCCCTCTCTCAAACCCACTTTTGAAATCATCGAGTAGAAGACGTCCAATGTTAAATATTGAGCCAAATCTGGGAATAGAAGGAACTGTTTTGCATCAATATCTCATTCACTAAAATGCAATATAATCATCTTACTATGCTATCAACTTTTATCTATCTTCAGCATATATGATTTTCTCAAGACAGATAAACTTATATTGTGTATTAATACCCTTTTCATCCCATACAAAACAAAAAAAGTCTCATTGATAAAAACAACCTTTTAGTTTTGGCAAGGTACAATATTTTAAAAACCCATTTGCTAGTTTGATTTATATATCATATTTCACTTGTTTGCAATTTTTTTTGACAAATTCAAGAAAACTAACTTTCTATGACATACGAAAAGGAACTTACGCATATAGTTGGATATTCTGCCAGTACAAGCTGTCACTGTTCTTTTTCATCAAGAATTCAGTGTACACCCCAGCTAAGGCTGAGAGAAAAGCAGACAAAATCCCAAACATATATCCCTCGACAGGTGATGAAAACAGTGACTCACAAGAAGCCTCTCCACAGCCTTTTACCTATATCAATGCAACAGACAAGCCCTACTGTCAGATCCATACCACCCTAATTCTCATATATTCCTTTCAATTTCTGTATATTCTAATCACTAACTAGTTTTTTTTAGTAATAAAATGTTTTCTCTTATTACTGGTCCTTAATTCCTTATCACACCGTTTCATTGATACGTTTCTTCAAATTATAACATCACAGGCAAATGTTAACCGCAAAAAGAACAGCAATACACCTTTGAGGCTTTGGCTTTACTGCATCATAAACCAAACACTTCAGTAACTCATTCCTAGTTTGACACACCCATATTATGTAATATATTGTGAGTAATATTTATTCAATTATAGGCAAAAGTATTGATAGTATTGATCTGAGCTCACAGAGCATAGCGCAGAACTCGTGAACAGAATACAGATAGCAGAAGCACCTGGCTCGTGGTTGTTCCAACAGCCAATAATACGATCGCCATCCACTGCAAAGTAGAAAGCTTTCTCTTCAAAAACAACCTAAAACAATTTTTTAATGACCAACATTCATGATGTTTGGGGGAAATAGGAAACTCCCAGGCTAATACATCACAAACAAGACAAATGTAGCACCTGAACAATATTCCAGTGGTGACAATCTTCAAGTTGCCCATTATCTGATAAGTTGATGTATCCACATATCTAAGAGTAGCGAACTGAACATTATTGTGAATGAGGTAAATGATAGATGGAATTAGGTACAGGCGGACGCTCTTCCAATCCGTGGTCATTTGTGGAGTAGGTGAGCTTTTCATCTCTCTAGACAGAAGGATACAAGATACAAGAAGCTGCAATTAAGTGGAAACAGAAGTTATTCTTATTTCTTAAGATATTAAACACACACACACACATTCAAAGTTTCAAACAAGACTGAACTTTCACTTCATATACTTCTCTCTCTCAAAATTAAAGTCCTACTTTCCTTCTCTGAATGTCATGCAATTAAATTCACACTTCTACTTCCTATAAAGTGGGACCCAACCGGGTTGTTATTGTTGTTGTCTTCTACTTCTGGACGTTCTGGTAAAGAATTTGAAGCAAAAGTCTAGATATTATTAACAATATTTCCTAACACTCCTCACAATTTCTTACACACTTTCAGGAATAAGCCCACCTTTTTCTTAAATATGGAGTAACTCATAACAACTAAATAACAATGAACCCCGTCCCCTAGGGTCCCCCCAGAACTAGAGGGACAGTCCCCTGGCTCCGAGGAGTAAATTGAGCTATGATCCTAGTCGATCTCACATGTAAGGTGTAAGAATCCACCCATAGTAAGTACATGAACTCCATGCTTTGCATATTTTCCTCTCGTCGCCCTCGCCAAGGTAAATGTGGAGTGACTCACATTTTCATTACTTATCTACATTGTATACCCACCCCATTTCCCCGAACTGTTCATTTTTTCTTAAAAGATCCAGTTTTCATTAACAGAGCCGCCTTTTGTAACACACCCAGACCAGTTTAACAAGAGCAGTTTGAGAAGTCAATAGAAAAAAATGAGCTTTCCTAAAATTCCATTTAAACCAAACTGTGAATTCAATCGCGGGACGAAGGGAGTGTTACCTTGAAGACTTCAGCAAGAAAAGGAACAGTGGCATAGTCATATTCATAACCCCCATTGCTCTGAGATAACGTCGTCAAGATTCCCTGCCGCATATCATTCACATTCAACACATAAATCCAAACGCTGCGATGAATTCACCTCACAATTGAAGAAAGGCCTCCCGCGATTTACTATTGAGGGCTACCGAATGAAAGCATACTTATATATTTTCCCCGGGGATCAGAAGAGGAAAATGAAGTGAAATTGCAATGTAAATCATTAGATTTAAGAAGAGAGGTTAAGGTTTGAAGGAAACCTGGGAGCTGGTGAGAACGGTGAGAAGAGAAGCGACGACGTACCACCGCATCTCGCAGCCGATCCACTGGCGTTGCTTTGCTCACTTCCCTGCAGTACCCACTACCCTGGATTTTGGAAGGGAAATATCTTAGGTCAAAAAAAAACCAATGGATACTCCCTCAATTCAAAAAGAAATGTTAAGCTTCACTATTTAAAAATCACATGAATTTTTGTTTGTTATTTTTTTTTATTGATTATTTGATAAAATAAAATACTTTGTCATATCATATTTTTAAAAAATTTGATATAATTTTTAAATGTATAAATATTATTTTTTATTTCTATACTAATTTTCAAATAAAACAAATTGAGAAAAACCAAATCTTTTATTTGATTTTACGAGATGTAACAAAAATTTTAAGACGAAGAGAGTAAATGATGGGTTAGAAGATGGGGAGAATCCTAATTTTTATAGTAGTATAGAGTACTATTTTAACATTGTATTTTTCCACATATGCACATAACAATTGTTTCTGTGGCGTATATGAAATTGTCATAGGTAATTGTTGTACTATCTTTTATAAATATGTTATCATTTCATAATAGTTTTTTTAAGAAATCACTCAATGATAAGTTTTTTATCCCCAAAATAATAGTGTCATATTTTTATTTCTAGAATATGACATTGTATATTGGAATTTTACATTACTTTTTGATATTAATTATATTTTGACATTGTTGATGTTGCAACTACTATTTTGAAAATAAAAACATTTTAAACTTCTATTTTGCTATTTTTTATTCCCGAGTTTAGTTTTCTCCCTTTGAATAAGTAAACAAAATTAAGTAGTTAGAAGTATTTTAGACGAAAATTGTAGAATAGGAGTAAAAGTTATTGGGTAAAAAAGTTATCGTATACTCGGTAATAATTACTCCCTCCGTCCGGATTTTAAGTTCCCACTCTACGCTTTTCTCCGTCCGGAAATAAAGTTCCCATTATACGTTTTCTAACCCACTCTTCCTAAAATACCCTTCCCCCCTTCTTTCTTCTTCCTTTTTCTTTCTCCCTTCATTTTCAATTCCTAATCCCTTATCTCTTTTTCTTTCTTTTTTCTCGGATCTGCACTCTTCCATTGTCCACTGGTTTATTTCTTTCTCCTCCTCCTCTTCAATCCCAATTATTTCTCCTCTTCTTTTTGTTTTCTTCTTCTCAAAATCTCCTTAGATCTACTTCTTCTTTCTCTCTCTGGTCTCCTTAGATCTACTTCGTCTTTCTCTCTCTCGTCACCTTCTTCTTTTTCTTCTTCTTCTTCTTCTTCTTCTTCTTCCTCTTCTCTTTCTCTCCCTAGTCAAAATCTTCAATTCACAGTCTCCCTAGATCTACAAGGAACGGCAGGCCTGCGGCGGCGGGGAGGCTGACGGTGGCGGTGGCGGTGGCCCTGCGGCAGAGATGATCGGAGCAAGGGGCGGCGATTGGTGTTGGCAAAGGTAGTAGGAGAAAGGTGTGGTGTTGGCTGAGTGAAATGGTCGGTGAAGGGCAGGGCCGCAGTGGTGTTTTAGACCATTTACACACAAAGTCAATACCCAATAAAAATGACCAAAAGTTAAAATGAGTACTTCAAATTCGAACAGAGGGAATATATGAATGATCATCACATAGTAGATTCTATAATTGGTCATATAAAATTAGGTTTTTAATATTTAGTTTTCTATTATAAAATATTACGTTCACGGTCATTCGTTTATAAATACATTTTTCAAGCATAACAATTTTTAATCTTCTATTGTATTGATATTAAAACGATGACTAAAAGTATCATTTCGCATGAGCCTTACATCCGTCTTGCAATAATCATTGACATAAGTCGATGTTGAAGTGTCATTTGTTCGTTAGAGTTTCCGCCCACCCCAATTAGTCTAGAGTTTGTGGGTCGAAATCTAAGTTCTGAGTCATAATTAGTGTTATTGTGCTATCCGTCAAATCAACGCAAGAATACATGATTGATCCTATGGTCGATAGAAAATTATAATTTACCCCTTAATTTAACATAAACATGAGATAAGGACAAACAAATGACTATGCATGGAAAGATATTCAAAAACATAGGACCAAGAAAAAAATATTTAATAATAGAGGACTAAATATAAAAAACTCTTCGTTTGTAAAATTACTTGGAGAATTTACTCTAAAAAATAATAAAATTAATATAATGAAGAGCAGATTCTCTAAATAGTCCTTTATAATTAGGGATTTATCATATTTAGTTCATACCTATCAAATATTTTGTTGATAGTTCTTATTAATTGATATCGTTCTACGTTTGGTCCTCTGTCTATTTTCCGTCAGTGCGAACATAATATTTCATAAATATGGACTAACTATAAAAACTCTAAGTTATAAATAACTATTTAGAGAATTTACTATTAAGAGTGAATGATTGTAGTTTATTTATAATAAGTAAAAATAATTTCAGATAGTGTTTTGCAACTAGCTTTTTGTTTCAATTCATGCATTTCAATTCCAAAATTTGAAATCTTGAATTTCAAATGACAAGGCGAGGTACATAAATTTCAAATTAAGCTTTGTTATAAATGAAAATAATTTAACTCAAATCCAAATTCAAAATTTTTAAATTTTCCAAACATGGAATTTGAGCCAAAAAAATACTGATTTTTCTTTGGTGATCAATATTAATTGCATTCGGTTCAAAAAACAAATTGAGCCAAATTCAAATTTGAAATCCAAATTAATTTTCCAAACATACAGCTTCCTAAGGGCAGTGGTAATACCCCTCACGCCCAGCGGCATGATAGGGGCGTTTAACGCCGGGGGGCGTTAAACACCGCCCCCCTCAGCGTGACACGGGCGTGACATTTTCTGCGTCATTAGTTTGACGCCGCGTTGCTGCGTTTTTTCGCCGGCTCCCCCCTTCCCAACGGCTATATAGTC